TAAATATAAAGGCTAATATATTGTTGTGTTTAAGCTAGATCTATAATAAGGTTATAAGTTAAATTGTCGGATATTCTAGACATTTAGCTCTATACTCTAATAACAACTGAAAACTTATAAGAAACCTTAAAAATTAAGCAAAACTCATAAACATAACGTACATCTATACTTCAGCATAAAATCAATAGATTTTCAAATTGTGTGTTCAGTATTGTGTACACAAAAAAGTATAAACAGTTAGTTTGACTTTGTTTATGATAGAGGAGTACAGACAGAAATGGGGGTTACTTGATGGTAGTTTAAATAAAACACTTTAACGGTTTAAAACGCGATATATTAGTTAAACTTATTTGAAAATGATTTTTAACTTCGGCCCGACGTTTCGGATGCTTTGCAGCAGCCGTGGTCACGGGGAGACACGAGAAACGTCGGGCCGAAGTTAAAAATCATTTTCAAATAAGTTTAACTAATATATCGCGTTTTAAACCGTTAAAGTGTTTTATTTAAATGTGTACTACTCGCTAAACTATAGACAGTATTTGATGGTAGTTATTTCACCTACCCTCCATATAACATTTAAACAAGATTCGCTGTCTATAGTTTAAAACTCATTTAGTTAAAGTTAGTTTTGAAACATCTGCCGAAGTTAAAAATCATTTTCAAATAAGTTTAACTAATATATTGGTTTTAAACCGTTAAAGTGTTCTATTTAAAAGATGCGCTGTCTAAGAGTTTTTAAAGTAAAACGTTATTGTATTTCAAACTAATTTTCATTATTCTCTAGCAGGAGAATTTCAGAGGCCGCTTTGGTCGCGTGTACCTAAAAATTTAAAAAAAAAACGTTCTTTGGCAGTTTTCGTTTTTAATCTATTTGTTATTTATTGTTTAAATGTAATAATTTTCTACTAGTTCTACTTAAAATGTCAAGCGTGGATCACTGAAAATCAAGGCCTATTAATTTTGTGTATAATTCTTTGCACTTTTTGGGTGTGCGTTTTAGGGTGGTATTTGATATATTCATTTAATACAATGCATTATTAAAACATGAAGTTTAAAAGTGGTCCTAAAATCATTATTTTAAATGAGTAAGTATCTCTATACTTTTATTAATTAGTAATCGATGTGTTAACAAAAAATGGACCAATAAATACCTATTAACCAACTTTAGTCTCTGTAGGTGCGCGCCCTTACAAGTAGCCGTTGTCCATAGCAAGAATGGAAGGGATTAGTCGCGGGTGAGTTTTTGCTGCAATCTGTAGAGGATATGTCGCTGCCTTTAGACGTATGTGTTACCGGGAATTGCAACTACTTTCTTTTAGTAGCTTTATCAAAGTTTTATGACACTTCATTATGAACGGTTTTAAGAATGCTTAGGAGTTTAGCAGCGTCAATAAGGAGTTAATATGAATTATAGCGTCTAAATGCACAAAATTTGATTTACTAAATTTGTAACACGGGCGGAACTCGAACTTAGGACATTAGAAGTACCATTTCTTCTTCTATTGTATTTCGCAACTCTCGCGCATTGTAATTTTAATTTCAAGGTTTAACAGCAGCAGTACCATGATTGAAGGTACTGAGTGATAGTGAAGCACGTGTCATGCTTCTGGTGTATTCTTATAATCTTAAATAAACTTGAATTTCATAATCATTAAATACCAGTTGTAGTTTACGCAAGTACACATTTAAATAAAACACTGCAACGGTTTAAAACGCAAAATATATACGTTAAACTTATTAAATAAGGTTTATGTCGCGTCTTAAACTGTTAAAGTATTTTACTTTAATTAATAATCAAATCCCGCTCGTGTCTTTATTTTTTTCATATTTATTATATTTCTTGGCAGCACGTTAAATATTTTTATTCGTATATGTTTTTACACATATTTTCTTAACTCAGAAAATACAGTATCTAAATCATTGTTTATATTGAAACGTAAAAATAACCTTATAACTATTACTTTGTTTAACTTTTTTCTTTTCTTATTATATTTACTATTATAGTACTCGGATTTGTTTTTACTCGTCATAGAATTCATCGGATACCTAGTAATACAATGATAGAAATTCGAAAATACCCGTGTTTCGGATATATCCTCTCAATCGCTCCGACAGTTAAAGCCAGGTGAATCACGAACGCTTGCGATAAAAGCCTAAAGCTTTGAAAAAACGTCTAAGTCTACACGATAAGGACAGCGGTGAGAACTAAAAGGCATACGAGGGGGGTATTGTTCCGTACATTTGCGTAATGACAAGTCCAACTTGAGCATTTGACGAATGTAGCTTTTCCAATTTCGTTTCGCGGTCGTTGACACGCGAGAATATATTACGACTAGCTGTGTCAGCGACATCGTCCGCGTAGATTTCTCAGTTTTTTTGCACATTTCGCAGCAGGATTTTTATAGCTTAAATCAAATTAGTCGTTCTTTAGATTAGCGCGTTCAAACAAACGTTTTTTTATTATTTATACTTTTAGAATATATAGTGTTTAAAATGTGAGTCACAGATAGTCTTCCTATAAAAGGGGATAAAGAAAACCCTTAAAACCAAATGTCCCATACCCCGACTACTTTAAATGGATTCGCTCGTAATGATAGCACATTTGGTAGCATTAAACGAATATTACCCAGCCAATTAGGAAGTACGTAATCCCAAAACCCAGTTCGCCGCCGGCTCATGTTAAGGGGTATTCTAGTAATTACCGAAATACCCAATGTATTTGACGTAGGTACACCGCCTGGGGTCTTTTACATGATACGGCATATACGAAGAAACATATTACATACTAGCTATGCCGGCGATTTCGTCCGCTTAAAATGTTTATTTTGGGCGTCAGAATTCGTTCTTGCAAACCTTCTCATCTGTGACCCACGACGTCGGTCGCGTCTTGTCGTCTGGAGTTAATCTTAAAAGTCTATCGCAGAAAATTTACTAACTCGTAACTTAACTCTAAAAAAATTTAATTTCCCCGTTTGTTTCACATTTCTCTTTGTTTCTCCGCTCATATTAGTTGCAGTCCGCTATTTTATAGCTTGTGACCTTCCTCAATTGCAAGATTTTTTTTCAAATCCCACTAGTAGTTATAGATAAGCGAGTTTAAACAAACTCTCGCATCTTTACAAATTAGAAATGGTTTATAATATATGTAATGTGATTCAAGTGGATTTAGACAAAAATTGGTCTTGGTGGAATACGAACTTTTGAGCGGTCGCATTAGTTATTAGACGTATAAAAGGGATTAAAAAGCAGATTATTTAAATAAAACACTAACGGTTACTTCTTTGAGAATTATTTTTAAATGCGGCCCGACGTTTCGGATGCTTTGCAGCAGCCGTGGTCGCGGGGAGACTTCTAAACCGTTGAAGTGTTTAATTGAAAAAATAATTTCGTGTCACATAAAACTGACACGAAACTTTCCCCACAGTCAGCGACCGCAACACATCGTCGAGTTAATATGATTTATGGACATTTAACTATTTCCTCCCCTTCACATTATTTAATAATCATTTATGTTGTGTATATCTTATTAGGTAACGAAAGTATGGAGTCTGCTGTCATGAGAAAAAACGGCGCATCTTATATTTATAACCCTTTAACATGCAACACATATTTCTTAAGTTTTACGTTTTACATAAGTCAAAGAAAATCGCTATGTTGTCTGACGTATAACGCGAAATATATTAGTTAACTTATATCGGGCCGTAATTAAATTTAAGTTTACTAATAAGTGACGCGTTTTAAACCGTTAAGTGTTTTATTTAAATGTGTACTACTCGCGTAAATTACAGGCAAAGTTTCCGTTTTGAGTTTTTATCTGCTTCGAACCCTAGACTTCTCATAGCGCGATAGGTACAACTGTGGAGCCATAGGGGCGACGTGTTCCTTTTTAACAATAAAAACGTTTGCAGTATTGAATTAAATCAATATTAACTGCTTTAATTTATAATAAGTACCTTTGCTTTTTATTTATTATTACGTCTACCCACTTAATAACCTTTTTTCTCTCCTGTACTTCAGGTTGCCTGGAAGATATCGCTGTTTAGCGATAAGGCCTTTTATCTATAAGTTAGTACGTAAGTTTTTATCTCTTGTAGTTATTGTGGTATGTATTATGAATAATAAAGCTGTAATAAGTCAAAAAATAAATAAGTAAAATATTTCTGTATTTACTCGCTGTATCTTGGGCTGTGTAAAACGTAGAGTCATAGACTATAGAATAAGCAGCCGCCATTCATCGCATTAGGGTAGAATATAATTCATTATGTTCACATCGCTTCCTTGGTCCATAGACACGGGATCATTAGTACAATCCCAGACAAGCCACTCGAGTTAGGCGCTCTATATTGTACGTAATTCGTTTTCACTCTGTTCTTTTTGTCTGCAACGGAGGGTTGGTACCTTTCCGCATGACAGTTTAACTTTTATTCACAAATTACATCTGCTTTTCTGTATAATTGTTTTGATTAATGGCGGTCTCATTTTATACGTCGAACACTTGTGTTTTAGTAGATTTATTTGATTAAATTAGTAAATAGTTTACGCGAGTGGTACACTATAACTAATAATTGTATTCGATCGATAGTTAAGTGCGAAATGCGAAAAATATTGCTTTAAGATTATAGCACCAAAGTTTTTAGTTTGTAACTGGGAAAGTTAAATATTTATTTCTGGGCTATTCATATGGCCGTATTGAATAAAGCTTACAAAAAGTACTACGACGTTAAAATGCCCCACATAACTAATTTAATCTGGCCACAGCGAAAGTCAATGTTATTGCATTAGCTTGTTTTCAATTTAAACTTTTGTTATTGTTGGCGTATCTAATACAATCAATTCTCACTTACCGAAAGAAAAAAGTTTCTCAAAGTCGCGAGCGTACAGCTCCGGCGTAAGCTTGTAAGCTCCCGCCCCGCGTTTAGACTTTAGTCTGCCGGCGGCCTTCGACCGGCGAGCACGTGTATCGCTGGTTGGTTTCCGCGAGTGAGTGTCTGTGAATGAGTATGTTTGTCCGCGTCGTGGCCATCCTCGCCACCGCGGCTCTGGCCCTCTCGGCTGCGCCCCCCGACCCTTGCTATGAAGACGGCCGCCCGAGACGCTGCATCCCCGACTTCGTTAACGCCGCATTCGGAAACCCGGTATTGGCTTCGTCAACCTGTGGAAAACGAGGACCTGAACGCCTCTGCGATCCACCCGGAGACCAGAATCCGGAAAACGCCTGCCGAGTTTGTGATGCTGCACGATCAGATAGGCGACATCCTCCCACGCACTTAACCGATTTAAATAATCCACACGACGTTACTTGCTGGCGGTCAGGCGCTTTACCACCGGCCTCTTACGATTCTCCACCGGACAACGTCTCCTTAACGCTCTCCCTGGGCAAAAAATACGAGCTCACTTACGTCAGTCTCCAGTTTTGTCCAAAGGCTGCTAGACCTGATTCCGTAGCGATTTACAAGAGCGCCGATTACGGTATTACGTGGCAACCGTTCCAATTCTACTCGAGCCAGTGTAGAAGAGTCTACGGCCGTCCAAATAAAGCGACAGTTACATCTGCAAATGAGCAAGAAGCTAGATGTTCCGATTCACATAGATTAGGGGAGAATTCTGGAGGATCTAGATTGGCATTTAGCACTTTGGAAGGTCGACCTAGCGCTGCGAATTTCGACATTTCACCTGTGCTACAGGATTGGGTGACAGCCACTGACGTCCGGGTGGTATTCAATAGATTGCACATGGTGAATGAGGGTGATGAGGTGGACAATAAGAAGCAGGCGGCGTCGGGGACCCAGCATTACGCGGTCTCCGATTTCGCGGTCGGTGGTCGGTGCAAATGTAACGGGCACGCGTCTCGGTGTATTCCGACAAAGGGGGAGGATGGACAGACAATGCAGCTGGCTTGCGATTGTAAGCACAACACGGCGGGAAGGGACTGCGAGCGCTGTAAGCCATTTCATTTCGATCGGCCCTGGGGACGCGCTACAGCACGAGACGCCAACGAATGCAAAGGTTTGTTTATTCCGAACGAAAACATTTGCGGCCATATTTGTTTCTGTTTGTCCTAGATAAGAAACCGATGTTTTATTGTTGAATTTCTAATTAACTATTTACATTGATTTATTGGAACTGGGTATGGGAGAGTCGTAAGATAATTATTTTACAACGTGCATAATTATTTTCTATCTTCATAATGGGCTGGCGAAGTTTTATATGTCATAAAATTTATGAAGCAATAAAATACAGAATTCAAGACTACATACAACATCACCTTATTTCTCAAATTTACCTCTTTTCTATTCATGTATTTAGAATTTTTAATACACCAAGTACCTATACACGAATAGTGTTACGTCTCTTTAAAAGCTTTAACCATTGAGGGCCTGTTTAACAAGAAATTTATTATGTATGTAGTTAAAATATTTTTAATGTATTTCAACTACGGCCCCACGTTTCGGATGCTTTGCAGCAGCCGTGCTCGCGTTTAAAACCGTTGAAACTGTCTTAATTAAGGGTGTACTAGTCGCGTAAAGTACAGACTCCTAGAACGGTTGTTTATGTTCTATTTTTATCACTTCGTGATCGTATCGATCACTTCGAAGACCGACAAAAACATTTGAAAGTCGATTATTGAAATAAACACAGAAATGTGTCTGCCCTATACCTAACAAAGGAGACACGAGATTTTACTTTACTGATTAATTTTCTGTTAGGTTCCGCATCTCGAATAATCGATGCCCAGAATTCACTCATCCAAACAATCCGATATTATCAATTAAGAAATTAAACTTCCAATTATGTTAAGAATAAAACTTTATAGGCTCATAATTTCAAGCGATAACACGCATGAGATTTAACGATAAATAAATAAATATTTGCTTTATCTTAAATATGTATATGACTGCCTGAGCGGATGTTTTAATGATGAGTTCCCTCATAAACTCAATATAATGGTTGTAACAAAGCCCTGCAGTTAGGATTGAGTTTAAATTAGCTTTCGGTTAAGTGTGGTTTAACAATTGTTGTTTATGGTGATTAGGCAAAGTGAAATTGTAGACTAGAGATAATGATAAAATTGGGTTGAAAGAATATGTCTGTAGTGTGCGCGAACTACTTAAATCTATACATATAAAGCTAGCTTGTTTGAAGGCGCTAATCTCAGGAGCTATTGGTAGGAATTCATAAATTCTATTGTATTTAATTATTTTGTATTGGATAGACCAACTACCGAGAAAGGCTATAATATAAAACATCGCGAGGTGACTAATAGGATGTAAAAATAAGCGGGGAATTCATTTTTGTGGGTTTCCGTTACAAACGCTGCGAAAACAGTTCAAGATACCCAAAAAATATGTACGAATGAATGATTCCTCTTTAAATGATCTAAAAACAGGACTATCAGAATCCAGACTGAATCCGAATTTCACCACCTGAATTCGAACGGATCGTGTGTTGGAACTTTATTTTTTGAACCTAATTTTTTCTGAAACTTCGTCTGGAAATCTAAATATAAAATTGGTGGTAGGAATGTCCAAATTCCGTCTGGGCCACGAACCATCGTCCACAGATCGAATCCTGAAGTCAAATCGCGTTTCTGTTTCAGTCCGTGGATTTCTGAATATCCAAAGCCATAATAGATTGACAGCGCATCTAAGTCAGATGTGATAGAGCTAAGGTATTTTGCTCTTCTTCGACTAAAGTTTTTTTTATTAAAATATTCGTTTATTTCATCACTACGTAGTTAGATCTTTATATATAACATACAAGACGTTTTACTCTGTTAAAATAAATATATGAGGGTTTCAAGATGTGACCCATCGTTATGTTATCTTATCGAGCACTCACCACCATTAACTTAATTGTAAAGCGAGATAAGTTTAATTTGGAGTCTAAACGAATTACGCTCAATAACAATAAGCTGCGCCTACGCATTTTATGATTTGTGGCACGCGGGTTCTATTATCATAAAATTAAGTTGATTTATAAACATATACACTTCAGCTTGGCTTATTCGTTAATATAATTAAAGGGATAGTTTTCGAGCTATTTTAATTAAAGTTTTTTTTATGATAAACAAACACGGGGTTCACTCGATGGAAGGCGAAATATTCCAGCCATGTAACATATATACTATATACATCATCGACCTATTTGGGCTTTGCATTTTCTGAAATCCACAGACTGATCGAAACGCGATTTTTCATTTGTGTGGTTTGCGGTCCGGACGGAATTTTGACATTTCTACCACTAATTTCATATTTAGATTTCCAGACGAAGTTTCAGAAAAAGTTAGGGTTCGAACCCGTTCGAATTCAGATGGTAAAATTCGGGTCCAGTCTGGATTCTGATAGTCCAAAGCCAAAATAGGTCAACAGCGCTAGATAATACTAAAATTAAAGCTTTCAGTGAGCTATCGAGTGACACTCGGACTTGTTTGTTCTCCTTCGATCGACATTTGTAAAAATCCTTTTTTTATACAGTGAATTGTTTATTTCATTCTCTATATTTCTCAATGTATCTTAAGAAAGTACTAAACTCACTTTCGGTTTCAATCAAATAAATCTCGAAAACGACCCGATTGGACCCGAAGAGGTGTTGTTTACGAGTTTTTGACATTAAATCTCTGATCAGTAGATTTATTTTATTGGTATAAACGTTTTGTATTCTTTTCAAAACGTAAACTCGACGTTTATTCTTTGAAGGATAGTTTTTTTATTGTTAGTTCCTATCCTGGCTTGTTAGATGGCATCTTGACCTTGTGTATTCATTTGAATGATAAGGTAACTACTTTGTTTGTAGATAAAATACAAATATTAGTTATATACATTTAGAAAACTCCACTATATAAGATAACCTATCTTCTCTCGTCATGATCATCAGTTTCGAGATGGCTATGTAACTAACGGGTCGTGAATTCGATTTTTACTTAGCATCAATCAAGTTAAAACATGTCTATAGTTTACGCGAGTAGTACACATTTAAATAAAACACTTTAACGGTTTAAAACGCGATATATTAGTTAAACTTATTTGAAAATGATTTTTAACTTCGGCCCGACGTTTAGGATGGTCTCCCCGTGACAACGGCTGCTGCAAAGCATCCAAAACGTCGGGCCGAAGTTAAAAATCATTTTCAAATAAGTTTAACTAATATATCGCGTTTTAAACCGTTAAAGTGTTTTATTTAAAAGTTAAAACATGTTAGAATGCATTTTTGAAAATGTGGATACTGGGATAGGTTCGTAGGATTATTAAAATTCCGCCCAGTTATGAATCGCCGACGGCATATGATTGTTGTTCCAACTCTGTGTTGATCCAACTTCCTGAATGTCCAAAACCCCAAGACAGCGTTAAGGTTTTATAGTTTAGATGTTATAGCATATAGCACTGGGACCGTCTCTTTAGATAAATATTAAGCACGAGAGGTCCTGTGTTCAAATCCCGGGTAATAGATCGTCCTTGTTGGGTAGGGCACAGAAGTCTGATCAACCGCTTGCCTGTAAATAAAACCGATCAGTCAAAAAAAAGGGGGGGGGAAACTAGATTTTCTTATAGAGCTGGTGCGTTTATCATTATTAACGATCCCATGCTTGTCTGGCTCCATTATTAAAAACAATCTTTTAGCAACAAAAACCAATTTTTTCTGTTGAGTCATAACAAAGAATTCACTTAACAACTCGAATGCCTAACGATAAATCCATCACTATCTGTTCGACGATGTTCTAAACATTCGGTTGCATTTTCAAAATCGCATTAATATGTAACGTGTTGTCGATAAATAGTCTATTAAATATTATATTTGTGTTTGGATGTTTAAGTTTATACTGCGCAAGAGTTGTATGTTTAAAGTGTTGAATATACGATTATAACAGACCTGATAAGGTAGCTCAAATGGTGAAGCTAAAGACTTCTTTTAAATAAACGCGATTGATTAGTTAAACCGTTAGTGTTTTATTTAAATGTGTACTACTCACGTAAACTATAGACAGTATTCATACTTTCGTTCTGTTCCGCTTTATTTTATTTTTGCAACTCCAATAACATAATCTTATTTCAAGTAAATTACAAATACAAGAATTAAGTGCACAGTGGCAAGCTTTATAAAAACGAGACATTTTAAAATTCCACGTTGTAATAAGATTAGCGTTTCGCAAAATTTATCATGTGTGATATAATCAGGAAGCATAGATTTTTTGTTGCGTCGCCTGCGCCATATGTTATCCGCCTCTGCCCTATTATGTCGTTGGTCCGATCACAAAAACGGTGCGGCGAGTTTTTACAAGACTGTTTTTACCCTTTGTCTCCTTTGCAAATATTTGGAGAAGTCAGTTAATAAATTCATGGTCTAATGAGAGTCGTAACATAGACAACAAACTTAACTGAGGAGAAAGCTTCGAATTTATTTTTACTGTTCTGTCATAAGTTTTATTATAATTGGCAATATCTATTGCTCGAAGAATGATCGATCGACGGAGTTCACATCTCGTGATGATGCCGTCCACACGTGATGGCGAAACGTCGAGAACCTCTTGCTCACATCGGCCGAACAGCCCGAAAGACTATGCTGAATGATGGCCATGAAAGCCTTACACAATTTGTCTATTAGATAATTTGATTTTAATATTTATAAAAAAATGTTTATAAATCAGCCATTAAACCAGTTGTGACTTATTTTATACACTTTTATACGATAAAAACAGAAAACAACGTTGTTTCCTGACCTAAAATTTTTACAGCACATAGTGCGCAAATAAATGCAAACTAATTACTTGGCTACATCAATCCAAAGTTGGTTGAAATAATGCCATAACTAATTCACGTTATTTTCACGAAGTGTAGTTTATTTAAGCAAACCACCAGATCTATACTTTGTATAAAAAAGGTTAATAGAACTTGTTTCAGAGTGCTGAACCACACATTCACTAATACATAATAATGATATAGTGTAATACGTTATTGCATAATAGGCGAAAATTTACTTTTCACTTTACCGGTTTAAAACGCGATAAGTATATTAGTTAGTAAGTTATATATATATGTAAATTTAGTAAATTATTATTAATATTTAT